GAGTCCGGGTTCTATAGCCAGTACTTCATAGTTCCCAAAAAGGACGAAGGGTTGCAAGGATCTTGGTTTGTCACGATAGATCTGCAAGACGACATATTTCTAAAGCATCTCCATCCGTGCCTCTCACAGGAAGTTCCTGAGGTTCGCCTTCGGGGGCGCGGCGTACCAGTATCGGGTTCTTCCGTTCGGCCTAGCACTCTCCCCTCGCACGTTCACCAAGTGCATGGATGCAGCATCCACATACTGAACTACATTGATGACTGGCTCGTTCTGGCTCAGTCTCGAGAGTTAGCGGTTCGGCATCGAGATGTCGTCCTCGCCCACCTTCAGCATTTGGGGCTGTGGCTCAACGCGAAGAAGAGCGTGCTGACGCCCGACCAATGGACTATGTTCCTAGGGGTCGTGTGGGACTCAATGATGACGCGGGCCCACCTGTCTCCTGCACGCGTCAGGTCCATTTTGTCCTCAGTGACCAGAGTGAAGCTAGGCCGCACCATCACTGTGAAACACTTTCAGAGGGTGTTGGGTCTCATGGTGGCAGCGTCCAGCGTAATCCCGTGTGGCCTGCTGCACGAGAGCCCTGCAGTGGTGGTTAAAATCCAAGGGATTCCCCCGAGGGGAAATCTGCTCTGTCTGATACGGGTTACGAGCAGGTGACTTCGTTCCTTGTCCCAGGGCCCCATGTTGGGAGTGTCATGTCGCCGAATAATTATTTCGACAGACGCCTCACTCACGGGGTGGGGTGCGGTCATGGACGGCTGCTTTGCGAGAGGCTCCTGGCAGGAGCATCATTTCTCTTGGTACATGGTCAGGACCTCGAAATGTTGACGGATTTTCAGAGCTCTGAGGAGTTTTCTGCCCGCTCACGGTCACCACGTCCTTGTCAGGACCGACAATACGGCAGTGGTGGCCTATTTGAATCACCAGGGGGGTCTGCGCTCGCGCCCATTATGCAAACTGGCGCATCAGATCCTCCTGTGGTCCCAGCAGAGACTGCTGTCTCTCAGAGTGATGTATATCCCTGGGACCCAGAATCAGGGAGCAGACCTGCTGTCGAGACAGGGGCTGAGGCCCGGGGAATGCAGACTCCACCCCGAGGTGGTGGAGTTATTGTGCGAAAGGTTCAGCCCCACAGACACGGACCTGTTTGCATCTCGAGAGATTACACACTGTCCGCTGTGGTTCTCAGAGTGCCATGGTGCAGAGAGGGAGTGCCATGGTGCAGACGTGGCCAAGGCTGCATCTGTATGCTTTTCCCCCAGTTGCTCTGCTCCCGGGGGTTCTGGAGTGGGTCCGTCAGGACGGCGTCAGCCTGCTGTTAGTAGCCCCGTTTTGGCCGGCCCGAGTGTGGTTCTCGGACATAATCTCGTTCCTGGAGGGCCTGCCATGGCCTTTCTCAGGCGGAGGGTCAGGTCTTTCACCCTTGCCCCGCACTGTGGAGACTGTGTGTCTGGCCCCTGAGGGGGCCTAGTTCCTTGAGGCGGGCCTGACGGCGGGAATAGTCGAGACGCTGCGCAGCTTCAGAGCCCCGTCCACGAGAGGGACGTACGGCCTGAAGTAGAAGGTGTTTGCCACCTGGTGTAGAGAACGGGTGGTGGACCCAGTTACCTTCCCGGTGACTGTGGTACTGGAGTTCCTCCCGGACTATTTCTCTGCTGGCCTTTCCCCGTCCACACTCAAGGTGTATGTGGCTACCATTGCAGCATTCCACACCCCTCTGAGGGATGGGCCTCTGGGGAGGCTTCCACTGGTCGTGCGCTTCCTCCGTGGAGCCCAGAGGATGAGACCTGTGACTTGTTCCAGGGTTCCCACTTGGGACCTGGCAGTGGTTCTTGAAGCGCTGGCTGAGGCCCCCTTTGAACCCCTGGAGTCGGCTGAGGCCAAGCACCTGACCCTTAAGATGGCCTTTCGCTATCACCTCTCTGAGGAGGGTGGGGGATCTCCAGGCACTTTCGTTTTCTCCTCGATGCCTGGAGTTTGCCCCGGGGAGGGTCAGAGCCATCCTGCACCCCTGTCCAGGCTATGTCCCTAAGGTTCCGTCCAGGTTGTCAGGGTCTACGGTGCTGCAGGCGTTTCATCCCCCACCTCATGTGACGGCGGAGGACGGGAGATTTCATCTGCTCTGCCCTGTCAGAGCGCTGAGTATTTACACTCTGAGGTCCTCCCCGGTGGAGGAAAGCAGACCAGTTGCTGGTGTGTTTCGGGTCCCCCAAGGCTGGGCTCCCCGCTTCCAAACACACGATCAGCAACTGGATCGTTCAGACTATTTCCCTGGCCTCCCTATTTCCCTCAGGTGCGCGGGTTATCTTCACCTATGGCCATAAGGGCGCACTCTACTTGAGGCATAGCGGCCTCCAGGGCCCTCCTCTCAGGGGCTTCGCTCCAGGATGTGTGTGAGGCAGCTGGCTGGGCCACTCCTCACACTTTCATCCAGTTTTACAGTCTGGACCTTCCTTCTGCACCCGGCACCCGTGCGCTCTCCTCTTAGTCGTGCCTACAGGTTACTGCATGCTGGGGGGCAGGCGGAAGCTTTCGGAGTGGAATAGTGGGTATCTCATTCCCATAGTGTCGTCACCGACGCAGTTCGAGTTCCCTCGAAGGGGAACGTCTCGGGTTATGTATGCAACCCTTGTTCCCCGAGAAGGGGAACGAGACACTGCGTTGGTCCGCCACACCTCACCCTGCCTGGAGTGCCTTGCTTCATAGCAAAGAGCTAATGTGTCCGGTGTGCCGCTGTGCTCATTTACGCCTCCAGTTACGCTGTCCCACGCTACCGTTCTAGCAACGCCAATAGGATTGGAGTAGTTTCATTCATGATTTCAGCCCTGCCACGCCCAGAGGCGTTCCCATAGTGTCGTCACCGACGCAGTGTCTCGTTCCCCTTCTCGGGGAACAAGGGTTACATACGTAACCCGAGACGTTTTGCACATCGCAAGTTTCTGAAGAACACACACACAAAGGACAGGCCCACTACCTTGATTCATAAATGTTTTATATACAAAATATTGTTACAAGTATATTCAACATATGTCACATTAGAATAATGTTAACTACTTTACATACATTTGATCAATCTTCATATTTCACAGTACATACATGAAAAAAAAAAATCACAATTCTAGCTGACTTTGTATACAATAATTACATGCTCTGGTCATTAGCTTTTTATTTTATTTTATTTTTTACAAACTTACAGTTTTAAACAGGGTTCAACTGTCACTACAGTTGTGGCCATTGTCTACACCCCCCTCTTTGTTCAGTTTAGTACAGCAGAACCAAAGCCAAAACTCTAAACTAATTTCCAGACTATCTCATCTACCAAACAGATCTTCTTGAGTTTGGAGCCACAGTGTAACTAGTTTTGGCAAATGTGTAAGTAAGTGGGACATCTACAACGGCCACATCTGTCCACAAACAGCCCAAAATACGTGAAGAGAGCTAGTTGAACGTGGCTCACTGAACACTTGCGTTCCTTGGCACATAGTAAACAGACAAGAGTTTGGATCAAACCCAGTCACATTTAAGTCAGTTAAACAACCTGCCTGCATTGTTTAATTTTTCATCCAAGTCTAAGTTTGTAGTGCACCTAATGCAAAACACCAATCAGGTATTCAGAAACAGATGATTGTTACAGTGAATGTGCATGCATGGCAAGGCTGTGGCATCTCAGAGACTTTTGGTCTCATCCAATTTAAAACTGTAAAAGTCGACAAAAAGAAAATCTTAGAGTTCCATTTCTGGTCCTACACTATTTAACCCCTGAACACAGGTTGTCCACTTCTGCTTGTTTCCATTCAGAGCAGGTCGACAGGTAAACAGTGTTCACAGTCACAGTATGACACTTGGCAAAAACAGAAGAGCTAAATTCAATACCTCTACATTTCTTCTCAGTGCAGAGAAGCTGCTTGACAGGCCACAGTCCAGAGGTCAGTCAGATAGTTTAACCACTATTCCCATAATTCTTTGTTTCTGAAAAAAATCAGTGCCTTTTTACTCAATGTTGTAGAACACATTCATGATTTAAAAGTCTCTCTGAATCCCACTGAGTACTGTGAGCTAGTTAGTTTAGCTAGCCAGAATTTTTTTTTTTTAAGGCGACGTCATTCGTATGTCATCTTTTCTTTCTTCCCAAGGTTTTATATATTCAGGAGTTCATCATTAAAGGGCAACACACAATAGTGGCATCTTGTAGACATGCGTCAGCTCTCCAGAAAAGTTTTATAACATTCACTCATTGGATTGGTACATTCTGGCTACTTTGTCCTGATGACTTGTTCTTGCTATAAGATGCATCTGGTGCTACAGGTGTCATTTGGCATGAATCTAAGGATTTGACACCTGATGATTAATTCTACCATCATGTTAAATGAAAAACCAGTAACCCATGACCCTTTATAAGGACCAGAAGCTGTTTTATTTTTGTTCTTTTGAACTGTTTCTTCACTGGTTACCTGCTTAAATGTTTCTTTAAAACTTGAGCTCTCTGCAACATGTCATGCTAAGTACAACATTTATTAATTTTAATGTGTTTTTGTGACATTAATTAGCTAGTTAATGACTGGTATCTTCTTTTTTTTTTAAACAGTGCGGGATACCAGAATCAACAGTTGTACTGATTGCAAGATATTTGTTCGCAGTCAAAAGGCTTTAAAGGCTCAAACAGTATAAGAATTTGGGATTATTTCACCCAACTCACTTTCTTCACATGTCATAGTTACTTATGATCATTAAATAGTTACTTAATAGCAGTCAGAATTTCCTGTTCGGGTCCATTCAGTTTGAAACGGACGCCTTGTTCGCATCTTTTCATACACAGACACTCAGACACAAATCCATTCATTCCTGTGAGTGGATGTTTGGTAAAAAGCTGTGGATTAGTATTGCGAGGTCAGCTTTGATGAATACAGCAGATGACATACATTTGATTTTATCCAGATTTAATTAGCTACAGATCATTAGACTAGAGTTTCTCTCTGATGAACTATAACTATTTTTATATTTTTCTATCACTGAGTGGAGATTAAAAACCCACATGCCCCTCCATAGTAATGATATTGGTGCTGATTGTGGTTAAATGTAATACTTTTTCAACATTTTGAGAAGCGGCTTCTTTTCAAAAAGTATGTTTCGAATTAAATACATTTCTTTCTTACCATAACAAATAGTCAACTTCCTCGTGTCTACTTTTGAAGGATGTGCTCCATGCTGAATATCAGACAAAGGCTTTAATGGTCTGTGTTGACTGAGGATGAAGATGACAGTGCCCGTAAACACCAGACAAAGCCGTGAACGAGCCCTGACTCTAAACCCTGACCTAATCCATGTCAGTTTCACATTCTCACCATTTCCAACAAATCTCTGATCTGGAGTCTGTCTCTGCTCATCTGCCCTCCTCCACAGGACGAGTTTCAGATTTCAGCTTGACAAACTCCTTGGCCACCTCGTCAGCAGGCCGCTGGGACAGGATACGCATCACCGTCATGCCCGTCTCGTCCGTTTGAATCCGCGGTCCAAGGGGACACCAGCACACGCAGCTCTTGCGGTCAGCGACGTCACGCAGCTGAACCACAGCCATGCCGACCACCCGATCTGCCCGGCCAAAGCAGTAATCCTTCACGGTCACTTGGAGCTCATAGCAGTCTGGGGACTCCTTACCCAGGACACTACAGAGCACAAGAGGAAATAAAAAATCTGCAGCGTGGCAACACATTTCAGCTGTTTGCTTATTTGTAAATGAAAGAGTTGAGGTTTTCAAACTCACAACTGAAAAGCCTCGTTGAACTTTGCCGACCAGCTGTTGTTCTTGGATTTTGTGGTGAACTTGCGCTTCTTGTCGGCCAGGAAAGGGCCGACCATGGAGACTTCAACGAATGGCCGGAACATCCCTGACGTCTGCCACTTCATTTCGTTCGCTGCGATGACTGGATGGAGAGATTTGGGAAAACAGAAGGAGAGCGAGGAAGAACACATGAGACACACAGAGATTCAGTGTTGATGGTAGTGCCGATGGATGGATAATTACATGGTTGGGGTTGCATGTGTGTATATTTCTACATACATTTTCTGATGCTCATGTAAGGTCATGTGACCACCAAACAATATGTCTTTTTAATATTTTTATTCTTTTTATCAAGTTATTATTATTTGTTACTATTTGTCTGTTTTAACGTTAAGAGGGCCTCGCAATGGAAATATTTCTTCCCTTTTATGAAAGGACCATATTAGTGGTTTTACTTGTTTTTGAGTCTAAAACTATAAAGTTCCATTCACTTGGCATCACTGCTGAAATTCTTTTTCAGTTCATTTTTGTAAGGTATGAAAGTTAACTTGCAAAGCCTTGAGACTTACTTAAGATATTTTTAGGTCACCACATTTAGTTATTGTCAGTGTATGTTGTTACTTTTGTAATAACAAAAAACAAACAAAAAAAAAGACGAAGAAAAACATGTCTTGTCTTGGTGCAGAATTTGAGTCAGATGCCAGACTTGCTTTCAATATTTTGTTGGGCTTCAAAGTTCATCCTTGATCTTGGAAAATGTACCTTGAGGTTAGATAGTCTTGTGCATTTTGTTTTGTTGTTCCAGGTGTAATCTACGGCAACCACTTGCGCCACAACAATTTCTGCTCACTATTGCCATGTTATTCCCATGTGGTTGGCAGTAATATAAGATGTAACAACTAGTACTTCATGGGCTAAAACATGCAAAACCACTTTAAAGGCTTAATACAAGATTAGAAAAAGGTTCAATTTGGGTCAGAATGTAGTTGAGAGCTTTAAGGTTGAAACATTGTTTAATTGTAAATGTTTGTGTAATTTGAATATAGTCTCACCTCTGACATTGACTTTACGCTCCTTCCCGAGCATCATGTCGATCTGCAGAATGGCCTCTCCGATGGGCTTCTCTATCCCCGAGCCTGCAGAACACAACCACCACATCACATATTAACACTATGAACAACATCTTTAAACCTGACTCTCGTGGTTTTATCTTAATCTTATCTTGATATTATTGCTGCTGCAGTGACCCATTTTCTTATTTTACATTTCAGCTTTGGGCAAACTTGTTTAAATTCCCTTTTTTTTTTACTATAGAAGGTGATGATGACGATAAAAAGTAGGTAACATTAAAGAAACACCACCATATCTTATACTTTTATAGTTAGTTTTTGATAAAGTGACAATTATCTAATTTACAGCGTAGTTTAAAAATCCTACCAACACACAGAGTGAAGTGTGTGCTTTACTGAAGCAGGGATGACAAAGAAATGATGCTAAAATGTGAACGAGTACCCAGCCTTGCCACGGAAAACTATGGAAAGGCAATGTTAGATTTCACTGAGTTGTATTTTTCTTCAAGGAACTCCTCAAAAAAGCTCAACTGTCCCCTGTGGAACCCATGAAACCCCTTTTTTTGGAGTGTACTGGACTTACCCCTGTCAGGTCGAATCTTCTCATTGCCAGTGATTCTGATGCCCATCCCATCGTGCACTGGGGGGGGGCAGGCAGGAGAGAGCATAGAGGTTTAAGAAACCTTTTAGTCAATTTGAACAACATCAATATACTGTACGTGCAGTGTCTGTGTCTATGATCACCTTGGGAGTGTTGTGTGGTGACAAAAGTCTTGATGAGAGCATCAGTGCTCTGGGAGTAGAGGGAGAGGGCGTAACGCAGTGAAGCCAGTTCAGGACTTTTCTCGACAAATGCCTTCTTCAGACCGTTTCCCCCTGCGTGGAAGTATTGCTGAAAGAAAAGTGGGCAGCAGGGTGAAGAAAAGAACAGAGTTCTTATATGGCAATATTGTGAACAGGATTTTACAGTTTGTGCCAATGTGCTTCAGTCACTTAGATGAGTACTGAAAACAGCTGTGCAGCAGATTTATATGTAAATACAGGTGTGTACAAGTAAGTAATACTTTTTTCTGTTTTTTTTCTCTCAATATTTTCCCCTCTCCCTGGCTTCCCTTCATTTATTTTAACCTACAATGACCCTAATACGCTGTCATAAATATGTACACAAAAAAGTACAATGATTTTTCTTTCCTTGTTGTTTAAAACAATAATAAAAGATTATTATATCCAGGTATCCAGAGTAAATCCAAAGTGCATTTTTCAGCTTGATTCTGTTGTTCTGTCAATAAATACATGTGAATTTTTCTAATAAAGGAGTATATCAAATCTGGTGGCAGCATCTAAAAAACAAGCAGAAAGTCTTAGTTTGTTTTGACTAATGGAAAACAGAAAAGTATTACTAAACTTTTTACTATCGTCCTACATATTTTATAGAGCCAAATAATAGTGTAAATGTCTCTAAATTGACCAGTCTAGATGCAACTGACATTTTCCATGTTGTTTTCTTGCTTGACATGAGAAATTGCAGGTCTCCACCTACCTTGATCGTCTCCAGCCCTGCATCAATAATTATACACTGTTTGGGCGTCAAGGTTTTGGCTTCACCACCTCCCTACAGAAACCGGAGTTCACAGACTGACATTAGACAAATTTTCCTCATAAGAGCAACGCTTATAATAAATAAATAAAAACAACAACGCTCAAAATAAATAAATAAAAACAAAACAGAAGCAGGGAAAATCATGGATCCTTTGTTATTAAGCATAGTTTTGATATTTAGTGTCTCCTGTTTGTGCTGACTTAAATCCAGTTATTGGATAATAATTCCACAATAACATGAATAAATTTAACAGACCGTTGATTCCTCATCAGTACATCTACACTGACTGTGAACTTAAACACACACACATCATTAGTGTCTTTCTTTACATGATTGAATAGTGAATTGGGAAATAAATTTCTGAGACTTCTACTGTGTGAGCAGTTCGAAAAAACAGTTTATGATGCAAGTGCTCAGTCACTGCTGAGAGAGGGAAAACATCTAGAATTTACTTGCTACATCCACATTTTACCCAGCCTATCTAGTCTTCAGACTGCTAGCTTTATGCAACCTCCTCCATGCTGAGTTCACAGGCAGCTCCAAATAACGATTGAACCCCATGTACAAATGCTTTAAGCTGCAGTCCTTCAGCCACCACTGCTGAAAAATGTCTTCATCACCAGGAAACCACCCCAAAGGCTCTTCGAATACATTTTCTGCTAGAAGTTCTGTATGGCTAATTTGAATTTGCCTTGTGAATGTTTTGGTGGCAGTTTTGAAATAATTAGTTCCAATTTTTACGATGGCGTAAAACATTTGTGTCTGGAAATTGCTGCTTGTTTGCTAGAATCCAGACTCCACCCTCTTTTCTGGCTTCAATAACTAACAACACGGTGACAATGGAAAACCAAAATCCAGGCTTTCAAATGTCCCTTTGGAAACAGTACTAAGGCCTCGTTTCGTGTGTGTTACCTTGAGATTAGAAAGACCTTTAGCTGCTGTGAGGAGTTGGGCACCCTACAGAGAGAGGCGGAGGAGAGAGAAAGAAGTGGATTATATTGAGACTTTTGTGTGATATTTTCATGCTTCCTTGTGCATCACAATTATCTGTACAACAGACAAAATGCAGTAATTCAACATGATTAACATATTCACTGAAGAAATCAAACTGGAACAAACTCCTGTAAAGATCAAGCCAACATTTTGCAAAAGAGAAACACACCTGCTGACAGCCACCACTAGGTGGCAGCAGAGCACAGCTGCTGATTTTAGTGGAGCTGCGGTTTGAGAAACTACCATAATCCAACACAACATATACACAGCATATATTTGCAGTTATTTTGATTTTATAATCATTTTGCAGAGACCTTGTTGATATATATCATATATTTTCATATTTTATGTCTGTTAGTGCAGTTACAAGCTTAGTGCATTTAAGGAACTAAAATCATGACCTTTGCTGTTGTAATGCACACAACAAAAACACAAACATGTATGTTGAATGTGAATATGACTGTATGTGAATTTGGTCACTGGTGTGTGTGTGTGTGTGTGTGTGTGTGTTTTAAACTGTTGCTGTTTCGAAGTCAATTTTCAGATGTGCTCGAGCCCATGAGCGAGCATAATCCAAGACACAACGGCTTTCGTACAAAGATCCAGCAAACGCAGAAACACTGCCATGCCAGCTGTGGCTTTTCTCCAGAAACGTTCCAGCTATTACACGTAAAGTCCCACTGCAACGTTACAGTAATATTTTTATCAGCTTGAGCTTGAACTAATTCATGCTCATTACATGATGATACCGGTGTTGGCTCGCCTGCCTGCTTTTCAGTAACTAACATTACTATTTGTGTATCTTTCACCGGAGGCTCAGCAATGTCAACACAGCTAAATGAGATTGTGGCCACAATTTATTTAACAGTTAGACTGCAGTAAATAATGTTACTGAAGTGAATGGGTCTTCCACTGTTGTTTTCCTGCAACGTTATGTTGCATTATTGTATATTATGTGGGTCACTTAAGCTACAGCGACTGAGATGGTGGGGAAGTGGTTTACCTGCGTATCGGAAAAACGACAATAAATCTAAATTGAACATTATGAAACTAAAGTTGCCCCCCTGCCTTTCATCACTATGGGCTAGTATAAAAAAAATCGCTCCACATTTGCTTTGACATAATACTGGTGGTACACAGGATAGTAATACTTGTCGCGTTAGCTGGTGAAGTAATGTAGAAAGCTATAACGCTACAACTATAGTAGCACCGGATAACGTTAGCAACTGGTCAGAGTTATCCATCAGCTAACAATCAGCCCTTCTGATATTGACTGTTTTCACCCAACATCTTCTGATTCTTATTTGGGCTGACGGGCTTCAGCACATAAAATGTTGTTGTTTTTTTTATCCTTACATGGAGTTCATGTTGGAGTTTGTGTTGTGCTGGGAGCCAGTTGTTTTATTGTGTTAGCGGACTGCATTTCGTTAGCTGCAGTGTTATCGCTGTAGTTGGCAGAAGGCTCGGGAGCGCCCACAGGGCTACATCCCGACGCAATTCTTTCACATAAAAAGAGAAATAGTGGCTGTTCCAAGCAACAGAGAAAACAGGCATGTGCTTTATTTCTAAGTGAAGTTAGAGCCCATTGAGGAAAAAAGGCAGTAAAAAAGTGATTTATTAATTTCATTGAAAAACTACATATCACCCCATTAACAGGGAATAAATGGAAGAAATCTCACGGAGAGCAAAAGAGGAGGGAACCTCTCCCAGGGCAGACAGACGCGCAATAGATGTCTTGTGCACAGAATAGACCAGCAAACTAAAATTACAGTATGAACCATCATGATGACAAAGTTATGAACATGTTGTCCTTTAATAGCTGTGATTTTGTCTGAGTGTTTTCTCCTTCACTGTCCTCTAATTACTCTCATCTGTATGTAAAGCTGGACTTGTATTGACCGTAAAGATATCTGACGAAAAGAAATAAGTATGGAATATGGATTACTCATCATACAACCGTCTCTCATTGTCTTGTGTTTGTGCGCTTATTCTTCTGTCTTTGAGAGGACCTTAGGGTTGACAGTTTTGCAATAGAGGACATGTTGTCTAGTCCTCACTTCTTTAAAGGGCTGTGTTAAGGTTAAGAATTGGTTTCACTTTTGGATCTGATTTTACACATCAAAGTCTGTTTTCAGGTGTTGGTGCCATGTGGTGTCTGAACAATAATGCTGTGATGATGTGTTGAGAGGAAACCCGCATGACACTGTTCTTGATCATAAAAGTTTATTAAATCAAAGAGTTCAGCATCAATTACAAGCTCTGCAGCAGCTTGGAGAGTGACCCAGCCCGATGGCCACTCTGTCTCTCTGTTCATCAAACATAGCTTATATAGGATATGTTTAGGTATCTGTTAGGTACCATAGAGGGGTTTGAGTCTGCAAAGTAAAAGGTCAAACCCATAGAAGGGTACAGTACTATTCTGAGGTAACAAAACAAGGGGTTAGAGGTCAAATTCTATAGAAGGGTTCACTCCCTACTTAACCACCAATCACTGCTCTCCCCGTAGAAGGTCACTGACCCTCTGTCTTGCTGCTACAGTGCCATTCTGAACTGTTATGAGTCAAATGCACAAATATTGGATACTACAGTTGTATAAAGTTTTTGTGGTTCCAGAGGTTTAGTTTAGAGTTAGGGTTGGGATGGTTAGGGTCGTACTTACCAGGCTGTCGTTGCTCTGGGGCAGGACGATGGTCTTTTCCAGGCTGCTCAGGACGATCTTCCACAAATCTTTGAGGATCCTCTTCAGCACAGTCTTCTCACAGATGTCAGCAAAGACACTGAGACTGGATAACACGCAAATACCGAAAATGTGAGCTAAAACCTGCTTGGTCCAACAGTCTTCATTGTACAGTGGTAATTATTGTAGCGGTCAGTTATCAAGCATTTAGACTCCACTGATCCGTCCATAATTACTTTCTTGTTTTTCATTAGTGACCTAAGTGCTGTGCAAAAGAGTGAACTTAATGACATAATAATCGGTATACAACAAACAAAGAAAAACAAAACGGACAAACAGTAACACATCAAACAAGAATGTGTCTGCTGTTACTACAGAAACTACGTCTCCTAAAATTTTCCCATAATATTTTTCTTCTGAATATCACACTGTTTTAGCCCTATGAATTTTAATAAATTTACGATTTAACTCAACACAGTTGAGACAAAATCATTTTTCACAAAACTCTCTTTCTGTAAATTCTATGCTTTGCTTCTCTGTTGGTGGACAAATCAGTGAACTGCAATTTAAACTTTAAATCATTCTGACACCTCCAATCCAACTTCCCACATCCAGTCCTCTTTAGTTTTTAACATTCATTTATCTAGGGAAAGTTCATCCTCTTTGTGAGGCTACAGATCAACTGGTGATTGGCTCCTCAAGAGGGCTCCAATATGTTTTTCAAGAACTGTAAAATTATAAATTAGTTTACCAACTATACTACTGACAAGGTTTTAGGATATGTGCGAAGCAGGGTCATTATGGAGCTTTGTCAGCCTCCGGCTCTGTAGGTTTGCCTCATTAAAATGCCCTTCACCACTCCTGACCTGATGTAGGATGAAGTGTCTCTGATAAGTAATTCAGTATTTACATACTGAAAATATATCCAGTTAATATACAATCTTTACCCATTCCCAAAGGGTTGTTTTGACCTGGGTAGTGTTTATTTATTTCCCTAAATTACATGATTGCTTTGACCCAGTCAAAAAACTTACACTGTCACAAATGTATTGTTAGGTGTACAAAACAATAACACATACAATAGTGCTGGTATTGACAATCAATAACAAATAGTGACATGCAAGTTTAAGCAGAGCTGTGGTAGATTGTAACAGTTGTGTGCCACGTGTAACACATGTTTTGGGTGGTTTTCTCCTCATAGGTAAAGTTAACTTATTGTTGTGTTGGTGCTTTACTGACCCAAATTGAGTCAATTTTGACCAAATGCCAGATAACAAAAAAGGGAAGACAAAAATCATTTGGGTTGGGAAGCAGCACCTCTAACGTCGGAGCTACACGGTCACATAGAGTGAAAGAATATAATTCAGTTAATTCATGAAATTAGTCGTTTCATGAGTAACAAATAATAAATGAACACAGTGCGAGCGGCTTACAACAGAAGCAACTGTGTGTGTCATGTTTGAACTTACTTCCCATCCAGGAACTCCATGAGGGGCCGCAACATATTGTCAGCATCTGCCTCTGCAGTGTTGTGATTGGGTGGGCCTTTGATCTGGTAGAGGATCTCAGCCATCTGACGCATGCAGCCGTTGATACGAGTCTGGAAACTGGAGGGGGGGTGCAGACACAAACTTAGACAAGAAAAGTTCTGCACGGCTGGCAGGGGCTTGTTCCTCAGACATCCATGGAATACTGTGTGAGTTTATATATATATATGTGTGTGTGTGTGTTACCTCTTTGCAAACATGGTGCTGAAGTTGTCCAAGACGGTGCTGAGTTTCACCTGCAGCTCGTTGAGGATCTCAGCTGCCTCTGTATCCAGCTACAACACACACATAAATGAACACAAGGAGAATGGTGATAACAGGTTATTTACAATCAGTTATACAACCACCACGAGATTGCACAGCTTGGCCCTGTCACATTGGCTACGGTTTCAATATCTGGTGCATCCAAAACCAAGTTTACTTCAATTTTGCCTCGTTTCATCCCTCTTTTGCTATGTCTTTCTATCTTGCCTCTATTCTCACTTTTGACATTATAAACAATTATTTACCAATTAAAAAGACCACCAAATATACCTCGGTAACACCCACTGAATCGATTTTGAAGTGAGAACAATTTAAGCTAAAGTTTTATACCTGTACTAGGTCCATCACCTAAACAGCACACTGTGAAGAGACTGCCTTTAATCTGATCAAGGCAAAGGAAGTTTGCTTGTATCGTAATTCATTACTGTGATTAATTGTGTTTAACACATGAAAAAAAATTTAAACATAAGCATAATGTCAAATGTGAATAAATCCAGGTATTCATACACATTTAGCAGGAGCCACATTTATCAATGTTTTTTAAGTGTTGCCACGTAAAGAGATTTATCAAGAGGACATGAGTGGTTAAAAAAAGTATCTATTACATTGGGTAACATAAGTTTTTAATTGAAATAACTTTTAACTTTATTTTTTTGATGAACCACTTTTGAAAGTGCCAATTAAAACATTTGATTTAGCCGAACCTCATTTAGCACTATCTCAGCCTCATTGTCAGTAATGATTGTGTTGCTCATCTTTCTGTTTCTCACAACACGTATAGGCCTATAATGAGGGTACAATGTCTTTCAAAGGCATGTTGTTCAGCATAACATTTTGGGGCTGTATGTTTTGTAAAAAAGGCCTGTTCAAGCGTGAGCAGATGGGTGTAAAATAGGTGTGATTTAACCTTGCTGGTGCAGGTGTGCAAATGAAAGCATGTTTAATAAATACCAATTTTCTTGATAATTGAGGCCTAACAAGGTGGATAAAGATATTAGAGTAGAGAAGTGTGCTGCAAGTATGAAACTGTTCATGTGTATGGATAATGTTTGCCTTTTCAACCACCATTTGAATCTGCTTCATACATGATTTGCATACTCTGATTTGCTCTAGCGGGAGCATTTCAGCTTGAATATGATGTCCACTAGCCATTAGGAGGTTTTAGTCCAACAACACCGTTGTACTAAAGGTAAAAGTCTCTTTATGGTGATGAACTCCACACTTTGGAATAATTATACTAAGCATAAAGAACCAAAAAAAAAATGAGGTTGTTTTTGTGAGCTCTATTTCTGTGACTTTCCAACAAGCTCACACTGAAGTACAACAATCAATATCAACATCTTAGTAGCTTCTCCTCAGTGCATTTTTGGATGTTTGGGCAGAACTATGCACACCGTTTGCAGCAAAATAAATATGTATGAAGCAGATTCAAATGGTGGTTGAAAGGGCAAACATTATACAGTCCATATACATCTTTTCTAGTGCAGGAATACATTTCGAGTGTGTGGACAAGATAAGTAAGAGTATGTTACACACCAGATTCATCTCTCAGCATCAACAGATGACACATTGTGACTAAAATGATGGTGTGACTTACAGTATGGGCACATTTTGTGTGTGTGACGTCGCTGCTGGATGGCAAATGTACACAGATCAGTAAACAGGAAAGAAAAGCTGACTAAAATGCTAATCGCAAAGATCGTGACGAAACAAGATTTCAGCCACAGGAGTTTGAAGATATAATGGTAGAAACAGATGAAAAGCTAATTCATGTCTCTTCAAACCCATTGAACAGTGTTTGAAAAGAGCACTTCAGGCTATAAAGACCACACTATTTCCTGAAGCTCAAGCTCCAGGTCTTCAAAAATATACCATGAAAAGCTGAAATAAAATTCTTTCTTTCTTTTTTTTCTTACATTTAGTGGAAATCATTTGACAGCAGCAGGCTGTCACTCATTCCCTGGTTAAAAGAATTATTGACAGTAGAAAGCGGGATTTGGTGAACATAATTACATATAATAAACTGAGTAGGAAGCACAATGAGTAGAATAAAAAAAAGTAGAAATAAGGAGGAAGTGATCCAAAATTAGCTGACTCTTACACATTAAAGATGTTGAGGATATTTTTTTCAGTACAAAATATTTAAGTGAGATCTGTGCGCTGACAAATGACTTCTAGGGTTAAAATATCACCACCCAGACCCCCAGATCTGGCAGGCATTTCATGTCCTGCTCAGGTTTACCGGGGGAAAACCGGGGGATCAACCTTTCTTCCTGGTTTTGGATGGTTCGCATTTAGACTCAAGTAAATGCAGGTAAATACAAAAAAATGACTGCAGCATCTTAAGGCCAATCAGGTAAAGTGCTGTTGAACCAGGAACTGAATTTTTCCATGAATCAGGGCATCTGGGAAATAAAAAAATATTATTATGCTTTTTGGCTTTTTCCATCTCCTTTATTGAGTTATATATATTTTTTGTGCATGTAATAGGTTTGCAAAGTGAAAAAGCCCAAAGTCCAGCCCAAAGGAAGTTACCATCCCCCACAGAAAACTCTGCTCTGAGCTGCCTGAAAACAACTCGTTTGTAGTCCAGCCGCTTCCGCTTCCCTTTCATCCCTGTGACGACACAGGGATGAAAGCTAAACGCGCCTAACATAATGCTCACCAAGCGGCTACTCTGACACGCTGTTACTGTGATGTAGAGACAGACAGTAGAGCTGGTAACGGGAACCTGTAATTCTGAACCTGTAATGAGCATAATACCACCTCTTTAAGAGTTTTGATGGCCCAACACACCAATGTCTAATCAACCTGACTTTATTGCCAGCATGACTATTATGCTGCATTAATGCATTATCGTCAGAACAGTACAAACAAGAAAACCTCCCCTTTTTTAAGCTGAATTGATTCTATAGGTGCTATTATCGGATTTTTTAAATATAATTGCCAGTGATGATGTCTTTGCAGCCATTTTGCCACTTGTTTGTTGATACTTGTGTAGTATCATTACTTAATTAGCAAGAAATTCACAATATCTCCAACTTGGCATTACAAGTCAAAGGCTCAAGTGAACACTTTTCCCCACTGGGCTGCTCGTAGATACATTCTGATCTGACGTGGAAGCAGAACATTCAAAAATAAATGTTTTCATTTGTCAATTACTATAAAGAAACTAAAGCTGCAAAGTGCAGTTCTAAGATAAACTGGCTGGTGGAGCCTGGTATAAGACCTGAAATAAAGCTGAAGTACAGCCTTAGTAGGACCTCAAGTATGCACCACATGTTACACAAGCCAAGTGGCCAGACAACTGCAGGATAAAGCATCCCACGGTGTCTTTGTGCTATCGATAACTGCGTTAATGGATAGAGGACATTGGGCAAACTGCCATAACATATAATTGGACTAAGGGAGGGCTGTGACTTTCAAGTGATAGTGTTTTAGTATCTTCCAATTTAATTGAGAAATGTTTCAGTGAGTGAAGTGAAAGGCTGGACCGTCCACTCCGCCCCTTCAGTCTGCTCTTGGTCTGAATCCAAAAATGAAATGTACAGCCGTGTTTACGTGAACTGCAAGTGTCGAGCATAGTTAAACATCTTACAGGCATTTGGAAGTGAGTGCACACATGAGTGTGCGAGGTGACCTTGAGAGATGAATGAAAATACGGGGCAAAATCCTCTTCAATATTAGACGGAGGATGAATCAAGAGCAGTGAGAGTAGATATTGTCAAGCCTAAAACTGGAATGGTAGATGAACGAGGAAGATAAGGAGTTTTTTTTCATTATATGGCCTCTAACATCACATATTTGTAAAAATAAATAAATATTAGTAAAGAAAAAGAAAATAAAGATCCTCAGGATTTTGCTTTCAACTGTTTCGGGAGCAATCGCCTATTCATCCACATTTTTATTGGATTTTAGCTGTACAGTTCCCAATCGAACACCACCATTACCTCCTAAAGAAACATAATCATGTTTGCTAGTTCAACACTGTACTCGAAGGTACTACAAATTCTCAATTCACTTGTAATTCTTCAAGACTTTGGGAGGAGAAAGAAAGTGAATGACTAAAAGGAGGTGCTTTTATGAACAGAAGGAAACACACATGCAAGCCTGCACATACACACTCTTTCTTACTAGAATTACTGCATGAAACTAGAAGGGTCCTTTATAGGTAATAAGTGTTTTGTCCAACTCGCTTATCTCTCTCTACCACCCAACTGTACCTTCTTTGTGGCAGCTGTGGCTTCAGTCTATCCCGGAAAGACAGAAAAGAAAAACAAGAAAAAACACAAAAGGAAAAAGAAAAAGAAAAGTCACACAATGCTGTGCAGGATACTGATGATTCACACAAACTACACAGACGCAGGGTTTTACATTACGATACACAGCAGGTAAAAATAGTGTGAGGGTTTATTTTGGATAGGTTTTTGTGATATTGTCTGGTGGATTGGGTAACAGTGAGTGGGTGATTTTAATAAAAGCTTTTTGTTTATTGCCTCTGGTTTATTGGGATGCTACAACACAAAAGGGAAACATCACCTGTAGAAGTCCTATGTTTCACGGTTGTCTGCTACAGTACTGCTGCACACTTCATTCCAAACAGGATTAATTTAGACGACAGTCCCATTTTTTGGCATCTCATACAGATTAAACTCACTACATGGCTGGCCCAATAAGGCATACTAGCGTTTAAAAATACACATACTTAGACAAGTAGCGGCAACACGAGTCTCACTGTTCATACAGTCTGTTAGGTACTTTCTGTGTACCTGGATAAAAAGAATATAGACGCCAGATGACAGCAGAATCTTCCCTTTCTGACTTTAGAAACAGACAGCAGCCATAGTGCGAAATGTGAAATGTCTAGTTAAAAGCAAGTAAATCAACTCTCTAAGCAGAGGTTCTCACTCATTCCTAATCGTTTATGATGACTGTGAACAAACTGCATTACAAAAAGAAAATCTGATTAAAAGTAAACAATACTTGTTTGGCACAATGTCAAAGCAGAAAT